ATCATGTGACCACATTGCTTAGCGATGGCAATCCCGGCAGTCCCCATTGCCATTGTTAAACCCCACCAGTCGTTAGGCGAGGACCAATCCAAGCCATTCCTGGCTTGGTCCCTCCCAGTCCTGAGCCTCGGTAAGGTAAGGGACTGCCTCTTCTGCAACTCCCCCTACCCACCTATCTCCTCCCCATCTCTGCCCTTTTGGCTACCCTGCACAGCAGCACTCCTTGGCAGTGGCACTGGGGCTGAAGTAGAGGTCTGGGGCCTTCAGCAGTCTCAGCCAGCTGCCACTGCCCCCAGGCCTCTACTTCAACCCCAGTGCTGCTGCCGCTGAGTGCCGCCTCAAGCCCTGTGATCAGTCACCCCAGCACCAGAGCACAAAGCTCCAGCCACCCATGCTGCCTTGAGCTCCTCAGCCCTGCCATGCCCAGCTGACCTTCACTGTCTTCCTCCCGCTGCTGACAAGGCACACCCAGCCTGGCCCTATGCAAAAGCTTCTGAGACCTTCTGAAGCATTGCGAGAATGGTACATGCAATTTGGAGAATGGTGTGAGCACGCCTCATCAGCAGTGGGAGGAAGACCGCAAAAGTCAGCTGGGGTGACAAGGCCTGTGGAGGACAGGGGCAGCTGGCTGCGGCGTGTGACTTGAGGCGGCACTCCTTGGTGGCAGCAGTGCTGAAGTAGAGGCCCAGAGGTGGTGGTGGCTGGCTGAGACTGCTGAGGAGTGCCACTGTGCAGGGCGGCCAAAAGGGCAGAGATGAGGGGGGAGACAGGTGGGTGGGGGGAGTTGAAGCACCCCTGCAGTTGTAAGTCCAAGTGGGCTGTCAAGCACCTGAATTTTGATCATGTGACTGTGGGGGCACTGCAATGGCCATAACTTCAGGGTCCAGGCATAAGTACTGTACATTTAGTGCTGCCATAACTTCGAACAGTCGCTGAATGGATGCTCGTTAAGTAAGGACTACCTGTATATGGAGTGTGCTTTAAAGTGTCTTGATTGCTTTCAAAATGTATTTTTAAAGAATCCAATCTTACAGACAAACAAGAAAAAGAATAAGAAATAAAATGGAGAAACAAACATACAAATGATAGGACATTCAAATCAAAATAGATTTTCTTCTCTACTTTCAACAACAAAAAAATTCACATAAATTATTCTATGTGAATTTTTGTAATAAAATTTAATTAGAATTGGGTATTTGCTATATAAGATTTTTCTGTCCCACTGTTTAATTAAAATTCCAACACAGATTATAATATAATCCATATTAAATAACATATACAAGATCACAGTAACAATGAACAATGATTACATTGTTCCTTATCTCCATAAACAAAGATGGTTCATAACAAAAGACAAAAATCACTATATTGACCTACATTACATTTTGAATACTTTGTTGCAATGAATAGAAAAGGAAACAAAATAAATAAATAATAGTAATGTACATGTTCCTAAAATATATCTCTTTTGAAGTTACCTTAGCACCATACTTGGAATAGTTCATTTCTGTAAGTGTTACTGGTCGCAATTTGTCAATATCTCCAAATGCCACTCCGGGAACATAGAGTGCACAAACAATGTGGACCCATCTATAACAAAAGAGAAAACTGTGTGTTTTGTTACATTTTGTTTTCAGCAGAAAAAGAGTAGCAGGAGGAAGATTGTTGCCCTGTTTACATAAAAATTACTGAAATATCAGTTTGTTCATATCTGAACAATAAATGGTAGACAAATAAAATGTTCTATTGATCTAATTCTTAACTGCATCTTCTATATAACACAAGAATATAATTTAAATATTTTAAATTGCAATTAATTAATGTGAAACTAACATTTCACATACCCTCCTTGAATTTCTTAGGTCAGAATAAAAAGTTACTATATTAACCCCCACACCTTTTAACACCTTGTACTGCAAGCTTCTGTACAGATGATTGGAACTGGAACATGTGCAAAGAAGAATTCACTAATTTGGTAAGTAAACTTACTATTTAATAAGTAAAATATTTCTGATTTGTCCTACAAGAACAGATATTAGCATAAAGCAGTAAGAACTTACAATTCATTCACACATCAGAAATACAGAAAAGCACTGATAAACTAATAAATAAAATATAATTAACCTATAACCAATAAAAATAATGGCTTAAGTAAATTAATAGTGGCATTGCTGTTGCATCTCTACAAGAGAACCTTTCATTAATGGAGCATCACAGCCAAGAAGGCCCATTTCTTTACTATGTACAGATCACACTGCTGAGATGCAAAGAGCCTCTTTAGCCTCTTTGACAGGCTTAGCCTCTTTGACAGGCTATAATCCTATGGCAAGAATATACAAAAAAGGCACTCCCTCAAATATTGAAGGTCCAAGTCTTCTTTAACATCTCCACAAGTTGCAACTTCCAAATTGGCTTTGAGGGGAATCCCATGAAGATTTCATTGTAGTAATCTGCATTAGCAGTGGTTAAAACATAACTATTGTGGCTGGGTTCTCTCTGCTTAGAAGCTACCATAAACAGGAGACATTTTGACTTCAGATGGACATTTAAAAGCACAGGGACAGAATTAGCTTACTGAAATTTGTTTCACAATTTCTAACTTTTTTGCTACATCATGTTTATTTGACTGGGCTCTTTGGGCTTGAACAGAAATATTTCTGATGCAATCTTAAAAATAAAACCATTATAGCTTGGCTGTTTGGCAAGTTAAAATGGATTCTTCTCTCATCTGGCTACAGTAAGTGATCAGCAGAATTTTAGACTTGTTCTAATGTCTGTACAGTCTCAGAAGCTTCATCTGCATTGTTTTACTTTTTCTTGTATACATCTGCCCAAGGACTACAATCTGTCAAGAAGATTATCCTTTGCATCTAATGAGTATGATCTGTACGTAGCAAAGAAGCTAAAAAATAGATACATATTTTAAAACCTTGAAACAATTACATCTATGGACACCATATGCAAGTTTGTCTATATTTTAAATAAGATTTTGTTAATTTGTTCCAAGCGAAATTAAGTAGAAATCCGATCTGTACACAATTCTTATGTCCCCAATTATTTTTGCCATATAACAACTTACCATCTTTCTTTGATGTGTTTTCTATGAAAAAAATAACTTTTTTTTCTGTTTCAAAAATATGGAAATGTAGAGCAACTCTACACAAAATACATTCATGCAAAACCAAAATGTTAACTCCTTAAAGGAACATTTTATCTTTTGAAAATCATAGGGACTTTCCCATTTTTTTGTGAAATCCCACTGAAGTATTACGGAGGAAACAAGTTGCTCGAAAACAGAGGGAAATAATAGGCCATCTTCACATTATCTTCAATTACTTTAGTTTAAAAGGTAAGGGTTTGGCTAGAGATTTTTGATAGAATGTTTTAATGCAACCTCCCCATTGCACCCTGAGGAGTTCAATATAAAGATACACATCTTCAACCAGCAGCTGCTTCTCAATTTAATTTGCACAGTTTTTTCATGCTCCACTGGTGTATTAAATGCTGCTGCACTTTGTAGGAGTTTATCTATGATAAACCAAACAGCTGGCTGCTTGCTTCATAGTGACCTTCTCAAAATGTTTTAGTACATGTCACACAAGTACTGTAGTATTACAGATTTAAACTGCCATTTCAGTATGATTGGCACACAAGTGTCTCATTTCGTCAACCACCTATGTGTGAACTCCATCCTGAATCTTTATTAAAATACACAGAAGTCAGTCAAGTTCACAGCTGAGGCAGCTTCAGCTGCTTTTAATACTATTGCCTAAATGTTTTCCTGCTCATTTATTTAGCTGCACATGTTTGAGAACCTTGTAATTAAGACAAATTGGGTAATCAAAGAAGAATAATCTTTCGTGTTACTTCCCATCCATTTTGCTCAGAGCAAAGATGACAGATGTTGGTGATTGGAAAGAAAAGGAAAGAAAGAAACAAAATAAAGACAATAGTCTTATTCTGGGTTTAGCAAACAGAAGATTTCATTCTATCCAAACCATTCATAAATCTAAGGAATATATTTTTAAAAAATATATGTTTAAAATTAACTATTTAATGGAATACCATCTTATATTAAAAAGAGAATGATAAAACAAATAGTTTAATAAGCAGACAAAATTAAATCAGAAAGAATAAT